TACTGGGCTGGGTGACCTCCCGGGAAGTCCTCGTGTTGTACCCATTTATGCCCCTTGCTCGGCACGTGCCCGGGGAGGGCAAGCGGGAAAAAGAAAGGACGATTTCAGCGCGTCCGATTTTTTCATTTTCGTTTTTTTGCCCGAACAACGACCCAGCGGGGGGGGGGGCCCCCGGGAGGCTGCCCGTGCGAAGAAACGCCCCGTGCGCACCACCGTTGGGCGGTTGGAAGCCGCACACGGTCGCGGGGTGGAGAGCGGAAACGGGCAGCCGGGGAGGGTGGGGGCGGTTGGATGGGACTGGGGTGTAACGGGGGCAGGGGAGTTGAGGGGGCAAGGGGAGGGGCAGCAACGGGCAGGGGCTGGGCCAGCTGAGGGCACGGAAAAGGGCGGGCAGAGGGTGGGCAGAGGGGCGAGCGATGCAAGGGAGGCACCATAGGGGGGGAAACAGTTGCACGGAGGTGGGAGGTGAGGGGCGTGCGAGGGGGTGGGAAAGGGGCAGGGTAGGGGCAGAATGGGAGGATGTGGGTGGGGGGTGGGGGAGGGGAGTGTGCGTGTGTGTGTGTTGAGAAAGAGAGAGAGGGAAAGGGAGGGGGGGAGAGAAGGGTGGGAGGGGGGCTGGTGGTGGGGATGGGCTGATGGTGGTAAGAGGGCAGCAGGGATGGGGAGAAGGAGAGGTAACGAGGGGAGAGCAAAGGGCAGGGGGGGAGGAAGGGAGGGGCAGGGAGGGAAGAGGCTGAACGTACAAAGGGGGGGAAACGAGGGCATGGATGGTAGGAAAACTAAGGGCAGGGGTGCGGGAAATCAAGGGCAGGGAGGGGAGAAGCAATGGGTGAGGGGAAAACAAGGGAGGGCAGAGGGGGTGGGCAGGGAGGGAAGAAACGTGGTGGCAGGGAGGGAAGAAGCCAAGACAGGGGCATGGGCAGGCGGGGGCAGGGAGGGAGCAGAGGAGAGGCACGGAGGAAAGAAAGGGAGGCGCGGGGAAGGGGAGAAACCGGGCGTGGGGGGGGCGGAAACGAGGGCAGGGCGGGGAGGAGGGAGGGGCAGGGAGGGAGAAGCTGAGCACACAGAGGGGGGAAAGGTGAGGCAGGGCGGTAGGAAGCCAAGGGCAAGGGTGGGGAGAGTGGGGGGGCAGGGAGAGGGGGGAGGTGTGGGGGCGGAGAAAGGCGGCGAGGCGGCAGGGAGGGGAGAAACCAAGCATAGGGGGGCGAGATACGAGGGGCAGGGTGCGGATTGAGGAGGGGCAGGGAGTGGAGTGGGTCGGCGAGGGGAAGGAAGAGGCTGTGCAGCAGAGGAGGGGTAGGGGGGAGGAGAAGGTAAACGAGGGGAGCGCACGGGCGGGGAGGAGCGAATGGCGGGCGGTGGGAAACGGCGAGGGGGGCAGGGAGGGTCAAAAGAGGCGGCAAGGGAGCGGGCACGCGGAGGGTAGGGGCGGGGGGAGCGGATGGCATGAGGGGGCAGGGGGTGTGACTGTGAAGGGGGGCCCCGGGCAAGGGGTGTGTACCGGTCGGGGCACGGGGTTGACGTGGTACGATCATACCTCGGCTACTACGCCGGATCCCATCAGAACTCCGAAAGCTAAGCGCTGGTGGGCGAGAGCAGTTATTCATTAATAAGGGAAGAGCAAATACAAGCCGAATATAATGGTTTTTCCAAGACTAGGAAATTTCGACATAGCCTAAGCGCTATGAGGACGATTATATATTTTGTAGGAAAAGGGGGAAAGAAAGGAAAGGAAGGAAAGATGAAGGAGTAAGAAGAAGTGGTAGGGAAAGGAAGAGGGTGGTAGGAAGAGAAGGGAAGGATAGAAGAAGGAACAGAAAGAGGGAGGTGGGAAGAGAAGAGGAGAGAGAGAGAGAGACTAAGGAGAAGGAAGCACCAAAGGACCAAACACGGCAGCAACCCGCACGACCGCACGGGCACAGCGTTTCAAGCACAGCCACTATTGTTTTTTTACACATATGCATCATATATATACTGCATATCAGCCACACTCTCGAAGCACCCTGTGACGTGGTGCCAAGTTCCCTGCCCCGCACCCCAGTGGGACTGGTGCGGGCATCCACCCGTCGTCGGACCTCCCTAACTGCCGCACCGCATGCTGGATCATGCATTGAGCCTGCGCGCGCTGCAGTGCAACGGAGAGGCGTGTAGTGAGTCCTGCCTCAAATATCCGTGCCGATCCGTCATCCCCCCCACCTCTATCCCTCCTCCGCTGTGCTATCCTCTTTGCGCAGAGCCCCAGAAACTGACGCAGCGGCTCACTCAGAAGGCCAAAGGTCTCCGCCACGCACGCGTAAAGTGTGGTGCCGGCTGCAGCCCCTCTAAGTGCGGCCCCCAGTGACGCAGCTTCTCCTGCACCCGCCTAGCTGCTGCCACTCCAATCTGTGTGGGGGTCGCCCGTCTCAGCTGCACGTTCCCCTCCCGCTGTGGATCCGCTATGGAGACATCCACAAGAACCATCAGACCCTGGCCAACGTCGCGGCAGGTGAGGTCTGGAATGCGGGAGGCGGTGCCTACACGGCCTGTGCGTCCGACTGGTCCCTGCTGTTGCGCTGGCTGCTGCCCTGTCTGGTCCCTTGGTGCCCCCTCTCCGATCGTCTCTCTCCCCCTCTCCTCTCCTCCATCCACCTGTCCTCTCCCCTCCCCCTCCCTACCCTCCCCCAAACCTCCCGACCCCCCCTGCTCCATCCCCTGCTGCCTCTCTCACTCCCTGGCCCTCCCCTCCCAATCCCGCTGCCCCTCCTGTACCTCCGTCCGCTCTCTGCTGCTCCCGCCCCTGCCCCGCCCCCGAGGCCGAACCTGGAGGCGCGGCGCCCTGGGCCCGCGGCCTCCACTGGCTCTCCTGCTGCTGCCTGTGCCGTCCCCCCTCCCCGTCCTGGCCCGTCTGCTCCCCCTGCCGTCCCCTCTGCCCACCTGTCCCTCGCTCCACCTGACCCCGCAGCTGGTGCCGTCCCCACTGTCCCCCGCCACCCGGCTGTCCCGCCTCGCCTCTCCGCTCCCCCGGTCCCTCAGCCCGTGTCCCCTCTCCCACCACTGGCTGTCCCAGTAGTCTCGCTCGAGCCGCCTCCAACTGTGTGAACAGCGTAGAGTCCTCCACCTTTACCGCGAAGCCCGCCTCGACCGCAAAGTCTCGAAGCATGTACTTCACCGTGTCGTGGATGGTAGTGGCGACCCCGTAACGCGGGCACCGAACCGCGTGATGAGGCACCGTCATGTCGTCAATCGCCTGTCCGCAGGAGCACTGACCTGCAAGGGCTAACTGGGGGATAGGGAGACCAAGACGAGAAGATGAAGCCGCCTGCCACAGCGCCTCCGGGATGCGCAGTGGGTCGGCGTACGGCACCGACGTCAACCACGCTCCTGCACCTCCGCCCTGAAGGGAAGTCAAACGGGCAAGGTGCAAGGGAGAGGTGTGACGGGCACGCACGGCCTCCAAGGCATGCGCCTCCAGAAGACGGCTCGCTCCTGCAAAAAGGGAATCGGGGGAGGCAGAAGCGCAAGAGGGCCAGGGGGGAAGGAGAGAGAGAACGTCAGGAGGGAGACCCTCTAGCGCCGTCTGCAGAGCCCGGTCGATCTGCTCTGGCTCACCTGAAGCGAAGCTCTGCCGAAACACCTCGCCACACGCAGGGAGAGAACAGAGAATGGGTGCACACTGCACCCAGGAGCACACGAAACTCACCGGGGCCATGCGCGCCATGCGACGAATGCCGAAACCCCCGAGACGGATGGGGAGGAAGATCTGGTCTAGGGCGGCCTCTCGGACGTCCTCGCGACAAGCCCAGGTCCCTGAAGCTAAAAGCTGCTGAAAAGTCTCTCCCAGGCGTGCGTCCCACCGTGTAAAACTGGAGATCACTGCGGGCGAAGGAGGGACGGTCCTCGACAGGTACTGCGGACGAGTGCTGACACACGCCGAAAGAAGGCGGGCAGCTGTCTGGGGCTGGCGCAACCTCGGAAGCCAAGGTAGCACCCGCCCCATCCTCTCGAGACGATCCGGGAGACTCTGCTCCACGAACGAAACGGTGCCTACCGGTACGCCTGTCACGGTGAGCCCTCGGCGTGCGACCTCGATCCCTAGGCCCGTGAAAGCCTCCAGATCCCTGGACAGAAAGGACTCTGTCTGGTAGACGAGGCACTTGTGCGGCTGGGCTGCAAGGCCCATCTCGCCCAAGCGCCTCACGATCTCGGCAAAATGGTGCAGCACCCTGTCTGGGGGACCTAGCACGTACGTGTCATCGGCGTACGACCAGAGCTGGACATCCCCCTCCGCCAGAACCGGCTCCAAAGCAAGACGCTGTGTCAGAGCGTACAAGAAGGGGCTGAGAGGGTCTCCCTGGCGAGTGCCCCGCTCCGAGTGCATCGTGACCACTCCCGTGCCTGACCTGTAGTGGAGATCCGAGGGCGTCCCGTAGAAGAGGCCGATGAAGGGGATCAGACACTGAAACTCCGGACTGGCCTGCAGCGCCTGAAACATCCTGTCTCGGTGGAAAGAGTTAAAGGCATTCGCCACGTCTAGCTGCAGGACCACCCAGTCTGGGTGGTCAGCCAGAGCGCGGCGGACGCCTCTAACTACGACCTCTGTCCCGCACGTAACCCCCACCCCAAACTGCTGTGATGCCAAGAAGACCCTCGCCATCTGGTCACGTAGCTGGAGACAAACTGCCCGAGAAAGAATGCGGACCAAAACCTCGCCGATGGCAATCGGCCGAACATCCATGTTCGACTTCGCCAGAGCCACGAGGGTGGAGGACGCTAGCAAGGAGCGCGCAGCTGGAGCGCAACGGCCTCGGAGCCACTGCTGGTACACGGCCAGGAGGAAATGGAGACTCTGAGGGAAAGCTAGGAAAGTGTCTCGCAGGTGCTCAGCGACCCAACCGGACGGTCCTCCCGAAGAGCCCCGCGGAGCTGTGAAAATCGCGCGGCGTAAGTGATCCACCGAGAGCACGAGAGGGGACCCCTGGAAGCCAGACAGCCAAGCTGGGGTCGGCCTCTCCGCGTTGGGGTGCTTCGACTGCAGGCGCTGTATCGTCCCCTGTGTATCTGGGGCTGCCTCCGCGGACTCGAGAGCCGCGCACGCCCGTGAGGTCTCATTGCACGCTGCCAGACGAAGGCAACGTGCAATGCGGCGCTCATCTGCTGCAGAGGGATCGGTGGCGGTGCGTGACCGGTGACCTGTGCGGCGAGGAAGGGGTGTGCGACGGCCTAGTGCATCTGAGACTAGCTCAGCCCACTCACCTCGACCAAAGCGAGAGATGCGCGTTGCAATGGCAGCCGTGTGCGAGCGGTCGGGTGGCGTCGCTGGAACAAGGAAAAGAGTCGGCGCTGCAGCGAGGAGGAAGGTAGGGCCAGCAGCCTCCGGGTCCTGGGCAATGCGGACTAGGATCGCACTGAGGACGTCAAGATATCCTCCGCGGACCCTCTCCGGGACACGTCGGAGAGGGCGTGTATGGATACGCTCGGGCGAGAAGTACTCTGTCCAGTCCACCGAGTCGAGCGTCTGCCACTGTGCGTCGGTGAACTGCATCCCGGTCGCACGGGGCTGTGAGAGGGAAGGGATGATCGAGGCGGTATCATGGGCAGCCTGCGCCCTGCGAGCCGCGTCCGCAGGATGGCAGAAGGGAATGTGGTGCTGGAGCGCGCGTCGGTTCGCGAGAGAGCTCCTGCAGGTGGGGCAACTCACGACCTGGTCGGGTGATGTCGCCGTGTCGGCGGGGGTCAATCGGGGCCGTGGCGTCGGAACTGGCTGTAGAGGGGACCCCGTGGGCGGCCTGAGCTCCGACAGGATCGCCTGGGATGAGGGGAGGAGACGACTCACCAGCCCCGCGCGGGGGGGGTGTCAGCGAAGATAGAGGTGGTGTCGCACAGGATAGGGCCGGGCCTCGTGCCGGCACCGGTGTTGAAGCTGGGGAGGGGGGGACGTGGAGGTGAGCCTGAAGTGTGTGCCGTGGTGTGCTCCTGCCCCTCGGCGGGGTGCGGTTCAAGTGACGGCTCTGCTACCCCAGGCGGAGGGGTCTCGGTAGGGGCGGATGCCTCATCCCTACTGCTGGTGACCTCCTGCGCCACGGGCTGAACGGGGGGAGGCGCCACCCCGTCTAGGTGCGAGTGACACGGCCTCAGACCCCGGTCCGTCTCCATTGGGGTCGGGAGTGACGCGCCTGGCTGAGTGGCGGGGGGGATAAAAGAAGGGACAGACCGGGTGACCTCCGCATACGTCCGGGTCCGGTCCTGTGGGACTGGAAGGGTGGGGGCAGCCGGAGAGCTGCTCAGGCGGTGTATCGCCAGCAAATCTGAAATGCCAGCCCTCACCTCCTCTGGGGTCTCGAAGACCTGCCTGCCTGTAGGTGAGAGTAGGAGGGCTGGCAGGGTAGAGGGTGGAGTGGGGCGTGCTGGCTGAGCGGAGCTCGGGTGTGGACCCTGCCCTAGAAGGCCCCCTTGGCCCTCCCCAATCACCATGGGTTGCGGTAGGGGGTCGTCGACATGGAAGGGGTGGGAGGGATGGGAGGGGGAGTCGGTGGCGTCTGCCATGGGCGCATCCCTCAACCCGACGGCCCCCCTCCCAGTAGCGATCGCGGCCGCCGCCACCTGGGAGGGGGACACAGCACGGGAGGGGCAGAATGGGGGTGACCTCCCGGGAAGTCCTCGTGTTGTACCCATTTATGCCCCTTGCTCGGCACGTGCCGGGGGAGGGGCAAGCGGGAAAAAGAAAGGACGATTTCAGCGCGTCCGATTTTTTTATTTTCGTTTCTTTGCCCGAACAACGACCCAGCGGGGTGGGGGGCCCCCGGGGAGGCTTGCCCGTGCGAAGAAACGCCCCGTGCGCACCACCGTTGGGCGGTTGGAAGCCGCGCACGGTCGCGGGGGTGGAGAGCGGAAACGGGCAGCCGGGGGAGGGTGGGGGCGGTTGGATGGGACTGGGGTGTACGGGGGGCAGGGGAGTTGAGGGGGCAAGGGGAGGGGCAGCAACGGGCAGGGGCTGGGCCAGCTGAGGGCACGGAAAAGGGGCGGGCAGAGGGTGAGCAGAGGGGCGAGCGATGCAAGGGAGGCACCATAGGGGGGGGAAACCAGTTGCACGGAGGTGGGAGGTGAGGGGCGTGCGAGGGGGTGGGAAAGGGGCAGGGAGGGGCAGAATGGGAGGATGTGGGTGGGGGGTGGGGGAGGGGAGTGTGCGTGTGTGTGTGTGAGAAAGAGAGAGAGGGAAAGGGAGGGGGGGAGAGAAGGGTGGGAGGGGGGCTGGTGGTGGGGATGGGCTGATGGTGGTAAGAGGGCAGCAGGGATGGGGAGAAGGGAGCGTAACGAGGGGAGAGCAAAGGGCAGGGGGGGAGGAAGGGAGGGGCAGGGAGGGAAGAGGCTGAACGTACAAAGGGGGGGAAACGAGGGGCATGGATGGTAGGAAACAAGGGCAGGGGTGCGGGAAATCAAGGGCAGGGAGGGAGAAGCAATGGGTGAGGGGAAAACAAGGGAGGGGCAGAGGGGGTGGGCAGGGAGGGAAGAAACGTGGGGCAGGGAGGGGAGAAGCCAGAGACAGGGGCATGGGCAGGCGGGGGCAGGGAGGGAGCAGAGGAGAGGCACGGAGAAAGAAAGGGAGGCGCGGGGAGGGGAGAAACCGGGCGTGGGGGGGCGGAAAACGAGGGGCAGGGCGGGGAGGAGGGAGGGGCAGGGAGGGGAGAAGCTGAGCACACAGAGGGGGGAAAGGTGGGGCAGGGAGGTAGGAAGCCAAGGGCAAGGGTGGGAGAGTGGGGGGGCAGGGAGAGGGGGGAGGTGGGGGGCGGAGAAAGGCGGCGAGGGGCAGGGAGGGGAGAAACCAAGCATAGGGGGGCGAGATACGAGGGGCAGGGTGCGGATTGAGGAGGGGCAGGGAGTGGAGTGGGTCGGCGAGGGGAAGGAAGAGGCGTGCAGCAGAGGAGGGGAGGGGGGAGGAGAAGGTAAACGAGGGGAGCGCACGGGCGGGGAGGAGCGAATGGCGGGCGGTGGGAAACGGCGAGGGGGGCAGGGAGGGTCAAAAGAGGCGGCAAGGGAGCGGGCACGCGGAGGGTAGGGGCGGGGGGAGCGGATGGCATGAGGGGGCAGGGGGTGTGACTGTGAAGGGGGGGACCCGGGCAAGGGGTGTGTACCGGTCGGGGCACGGGGTTGACGTGGTACGATCATACCTCGGCTACTACGCCGGATCCCATCAGAACTCCGAAGCTAAGCGCCGGTGGGCGAGAGCAGTACTGGGCTGGGTGACCTCCCGGGAAGTCCTCGTGTTGTACCCATTTATGCCCCTTGCTCGGCACGTGCCGGGGGAGGGGCAAGCGGGAAAAGAAAGGACGATTTCAGCGCGTCCGATTTTTTCATTTTCGTTTTTTTTGCCCGAACAACGACCCAGCGGGGTGGGGGGCCCCCGGGGAGGCTTGCCCGTGCGAAGAAACGCCCCGTGCGCACCACCGTTGGGCGGTTGGAAGCCGCACACGGTCGCGGGGGTGGAGAGCGGAAACGGGCAGCCGGGGGAGGGTGGGGGCGGTTGGATGGGACTGGGGTGTACGGGGGGCAGGGGAGTTGAGGGGGCAAGGGGAGGGGCAGCAACGGGCAGGGGCTGGGCCAGCTGAGGGCACGGAAAAGGGGCGGGCAGAGGGTGAGCAGAGGGGCGAGCGATGCAAGGGAGGCACCATAGGGGGGGGAAACCAGTTGCACGGAGGTGGGAGGTGAGGGGCGTGCGAGGGGGTGGGAAAGGGGCAGGGAGGGGCAGAATGGGAGGATGTGGGTGGGGGGGTGGGGGAGGGGAGTGTGCGTGTGTGTGTGTGAGAAAGAGAGAGAGGGAAAGGGAGGGGGGGAGAGAAGGGTGGGAGGGGGGCTGGTGGTGGGGATGGGCTGATGGTGGTAAGAGGGCAGCAGGGATGGGGAGAAGGGAGCGTAACGAGGGGAGAGCAAAGGGCAGGGGGGGAGGAAGGGAGGGGCAGGGAGGGAAGAGGCTGAACGTACAAAGGGGGGGAAACGAGGGGCATGGATGGTAGGAAACAAGGGCAGGGGTGCGGGAAATCAAGGGCAGGGAGGGGAGAAGCAATGGGTGAGGGGAAAACAAGGGAGGGGCAGAGGGGGTGGGCAGGGAGGGAAGAAACGTGGGGCAGGGAGGGGAGAAGCCAAAGACAGGGGCATGGGCAGGCGGGGGCAGGGAGGGAGCAGAGGAGAGGCACGGAGAAAGAAAGGGAGGCGCGGGGAGGGGAGAAACCGGGCGTGGGGGGGCGGAAAACGAGGGGCAGGGCGGGGAGGAGGGAGGGGCAGGGAGGGGAGAAGCTGAGCACACAGAGGGGGGAAAGGTGGGGCAGGGAGGTAGGAAGCCAAGGGCAAGGGTGGGAGAGTGGGGGGGCAGGGAGAGGGGGGAGGTGGGGGCGGAGAAAGGCGGCGAGGGGCAGGGAGGGGAGAAACCAAGCATAGGGGGGCGAGATACGAGGGGCAGGGTGCGGATTGAGGAGGGGCAGGGAGTGGAGTGGGTCGGCGAGGGGAAGGAAGAGGCGTGCAGCAGAGGAGGGGAGGGGGGAGGAGAAGGTAAACGAGGGGAGCGCACGGGCGGGGAGGAGCGAATGGCGGGCGGTGGGAAACGGCGAGGGGGGCAGGGAGGGTCAAAAGAGGCGGCAAGGGAGCGGGCACGCGGAGGGTAGGGGCGGGGGGAGCGGATGGCATGAGGGGGCAGGGGGTGTGACTGTGAAGGGGGGACCCGGGCAAGGGGTGTGTACCGGTCGGGGCACGGGGTTGACGTGGTACGATCATACCTCGGCTACTACGCCGGATCCCATCAGAACTCCGAAGCTAAGCGCCGGTGGGCGAGAGCAGTTATTCATTAATAAGGGAAGAGCATATACAAGCCGAATATAATGGTTTTTCCAAGACAAGGAAATTTCGACATAGCCTAAGCGCTATGAGGACGATATATATATTTTGTAGGAAAAGGGGGAAAGAAAGGAAAGGAAGGAAAGATGAAGGAGTAAGAAGAAGTGGTAGGGAAAGGAAGAGGGTGGTAGGAAGAGAAGGGAAGGATAGAAGAAGGGAACAGAAAGAGGGAGGTGGGAAGAGAAGAGGAGAGAGAGAGAGAGACTAAGGAGGAGGAAGCACCAAAGGACCAAACACGGCAGCAACCCGCACGACCGCACGGGCACAGCGTTTCAAGCACAGCCACTATTGTTTTTTACACATATGCATCATATATATACTGCATATCAGCCACACTCTCGAAGCACCCTGTGACGTGGTGCCAAGTTCCCTGCCCCGCACCCAGTGGGACTGGTGCGGGCATCCACCCGTCGTCGGACCTCCCTAACTGCCGCACCGCATGCTGGATCATGCATTGAGCCTGCGCGCGCTGCAGTGCAACGGAGAGGCGTGTAGTGAGTCCTGCCTCAAATATCCGTGCCGATCCGTCATCCCCCCCACCTCTATCCCTCCTCCGCTGTGCTATCCTCTTTGCGCAGAGCCCCAGAAACTGACGCAGCGGCTCACTCAGAAGGCCAAAGGTCTCCGCCACGCACGCGTAAAAGTGTGGTGCCGGCTGCAGCCCCTCTAAGTGCGGCCCCCTAGTGACGCAGCTTCTCCTGCACCCGCCTAGCTGCTGCCACTCCAATCTGTGTGGGGGTCGCCCGTCTCAGCTGCACGTTCCCCTCCCGCTGTGGATCCGCTATGGAGACATCCACAAGAACCATCAGACCCTGGCCAACGTCGCGGCAGGTGGGGTCTGGAATGCGGGAGGCGGTGCCTACACGGCCTGTGCGTCCGACTGGTCCCTGCTGTTGCGCTGGCTGCTGCCCTGTCTGGTCCCTTGGTGCCCCCTCTCCGATCGTCTCTCTGCCCCTCTCCTCTCCTCCATCCACCTGTCCTCTCCCCTCCCCCTCTCTACCCTCCCCCAAACCTCCCGACCCCCCTGCTCCATCCCCTGCTGCCTCTCTCACTCCCTGGCCCTCCCCTCCCAATCCCGCTGCCCCTCCTGTACCTCCGTCCGCTCTCTGCTGCTCCCGCCCCTGCCCCGCCCCCAAGGCCGAACCTGGAGGCGCGGCGCCCTGGGCCCGCGGCCTCCACTGGCTCTCCTGCTGCTGCCTGTGCCGTCCCCCCTCCCTGTCCTGGCCTGTCTGCTCCCCCTGCCGTCCCCTCTGCCCACCTGTCCCTCGCTCCACCTGACCCCGCAGCTGGTGCCGTCCCCACTGTCCCCCGCCACCCGGCTGTCCCGCCACGCCTCTCCGCTCCCCCGGTCCCTCAGCCCGTGTCCCCTCTCCCACCACTGGCTGTCCCAGTAGTCTCGCTCGAGCCGCCTCCAACTGTGTGAACAGCGTAGAGCAGTACTGGGCTGGGTGACCTCCCGGGAAGTCCTCGTGTTGTACCCATTTATGCCCCTTGCTCGGCACGTGCCGGGGGAGGGGCAAGCGGGAAAAAGAAAGGACGATTTCAGCGCGTCCGATTTTTTCATTTTCGTTTTTTTTGCCCGAACAACGACCCAGCGGGGTGGGGGGCCCCCGGGGAGGCTTGCCCGTGCGAAGAAACGCCCCGTGCGCACCACCGTTGGGCGGTTGGAAGCCGCACATGGTCGCGGGGGTGGAGAGCGGAAACGGGCAGCCGGGGGAGGGTGGGGGCGGTTGGATGGGACTGGGGTGTACGGGGGGCAGGGGAGTTGAGGGGGCAAGGGGAGGGGCAGCAACGGGCAGGGGCTGGGCCAGCTGAGGGCACGGAAAAGGGGCGGGCAGAGGGTGAGCAGAGGGGCGAGCGATGCAAGGGAGGCACCATAGGGGGGGGAAACCAGTTGCACGGAGGTGGGAGGTGAGGGGCGTGCGAGGGGGTGGGAAAGGGGCAGGGAGGGGCAGAATGGGAGGATGTGGGTGGGGGGTGGGGGAGGGGAGTGTGCGTGTGTGTGTGTGAGAAAGAGAGAGAGGGAAAGGGAGGGGGGGAGAGAAGGGTGGGAGGGGGGCTGGTGGTGGGGATGGGCTGATGGTGGTAAGAGGGCAGCAGGGATGGGGAGAAGGGAGCGTAACGAGGGGAGAGCAAAGGGCAGGGGGGGAGGAAGGGAGGGGCAGGGAGGGAAGAGGCTGAACGTACAAAGGGGGGGAAACGAGGGGCATGGATGGTAGGAAACAAGGGCAGGGGTGCGGGAAATCAAGGGCAGGGAGGGGAGAAGCAATGGGTGAGGGGAAAACAAGGGAGGGGCAGAGGGGGTGGGCAGGGAGGGAAGAAACGTGGGGCAGGGAGGGGAGAAGCCAAAGACAGGGGCATGGGCAGGCGGGGGCAGGGAGGGAGCAGAGGAGAGGCACGGAGAAAGAAAGGGAGGCGCGGGGAGGGGAGAAACCGGGCGTGGGGGGGCGGAAAACGAGGGGCAGGGCGGGGAGGAGGGAGGGGCAGGGAGGGGAGAAGCTGAGCACACAGAGGGGGGAAAGGTGGGGCAGGGAGGTAGGAAGCCAAGGGCAAGGGTGGGAGAGTGGGGGGGCAGGGAGAGGGGGGAGGTGGGGGGCGGAGAAAGGCGGCGAGGGGCAGGGAGGGGAGAAACCAAGCATAGGGGGGCGAGATACGAGGGGCAGGGTGCGGATTGAGGAGGGGCAGGGAGTGGAGTGGGTCGGCGAGGGGAAGGAAGAGGCGTGCAGCAGAGGAGGGGAGGGGGGAGGAGAAGGTAAACGAGGGGAGCGCACGGGCGGGGAGGAGCGAATGGCGGGCGGTGGGAAACGGCGAGGGGGGCAGGGAGGGTCAAAAGAGGCGGCAAGGGAGCGGGCACGCGGAGGGTAGGGGCGGGGGGAGCGGATGGCATGAGGGGGCAGGGGGTGTGACTGTGAAGGGGGGACCCGGGCAAGGGGTGTGTACCGGTCGGGGCACGGGGTTGACGTGGTACGATCATACCTCGGCTACTACGCCGGATCCCATCAGAACTCCGAAGCTAAGCGCCGGTGGGCGAGAGCAGTTATTCATTAATAAGGGAAGAGCAAATACAAGCCGAATATAATGGTTTTTCCAAGACTAGGAAATTTCGACATAGCCTAAGCGCTATGAGGACGATTTATATATTTTGTAGGAAAAGGGGGAAAGAAAGGAAAGGAAGGAAAGATGAAGGAGTAAGAAGAAGTGGTAGGGAAAGGAAGAGGGTGGTAGGAAGAGAAGGGAAGGATAGAAGAAGGGAACAGAAAGAGGGAGGTGGGAAGAGAAGAGGAGAGAGAGAGAGAGACTAAGGAGAAGGAAGCACCAAAGGACCAAACACGGCAGCAACCCGCACGACCGCACGGGCACAGCGTTTCAAGCACAGCCACTATTGTTTTTTACACATATGCATCATATATATACTGCATATCAGCCACACTCTCGAAGCACCCTGTGACGTGGTGCCAAGTTCCCTGCCCCGCACCCAGTGGGACTGGTGCGGGCATCCACCCGTCGTCGGACCTCCCTAACTGCCGCACCGCATGCTGGATCATGCATTGAGCCTGCGCGCGCTGCAGTGCAACGGAGAGGCGTGTAGTGAGTCCTGCCTCAAATATCCGTGCCGATCCGTCATCCCCCCCACCTCTATCCCTCCTCCGCTGTGCTATCCTCTTTGCGCAGAGCCCCAGAAACTGACGCAGCGGCTCACTCAGAAGGCCAAAGGTCTCCGCCACGCACGCGTAAAAGTGTGGTGCCGGCTGCAGCCCCTCTAAGTGCGGCCCCCAGTGACGCAGCTTCTCCTGCACCCGCCTAGCTGCTGCCACTCCAATCTGTGTGGGGGTCGCCCGTCTCAGCTGCACGTTCCCCTCCCGCTGTGGATCCGCTATGGAGACATCCACAAGAACCATCAGACCCTGGCCAACGTCGCGGCAGGTGAGGTCTGGAATGCGGGAGGCGGTGCCTACACGGCCTGTGCAGTCCGACTGGTCCCTGCTGTTGCGCTGGCTGCTGCCCTGTCTGGTCCCTTGGTGCCCCCTCTCCGATCGTCTCTCTCCCCCTCTCCTCTCCTCCATCCACCTGTCCTCTCCCCTCCCCCTCCCTACCCTCCCCCAAACCTCCCGACCCCCCTGCTCCATCCCCTGCTGCCTCTCTCACTCCCTGGCCCTCCCCTCCCAATCCCGCTGCCCCTCCTGTACCTCCGTCCGCTCTCTGCTGCTCCCGCCCCTGCCCCGCCCCCGAGGCCGAACCTGGAGGCGCGGCGCCCTGGGCCCGCGGCCTCCACTGGCTCTCCTGCTGCTGCCTGTGCCGTCCCCCCTCCCCGTCCTGGCCCGTCTGCTCCCCCTGCCGTCCCCTCTGCCCACCTGTCCCTCGCTCCACCTGACCCCGCAGCTGGTGCCGTCCCCACTGTCCCCCGCCACCCGGCTGTCCCGCCTCGCCTCTCCGCTCCCCCGGTCCCTCAGCCCGTGTCCCCTCTCCCACCACTGGCTGTCCCAGTAGTCTCGCTCGAGCCGCCTCCAACTGTGTGAACAGCGTAGAGTCCTCCACCTTTACCGCGAAGCCCGCCTCGACCGCAAAGTCTCGAAGCATGTACTTCACCGTGTCGTGGATGGTAGTGGCGACCCCGTAACGCGGGCACCGAACCGCGTGATGAGGCACCGTCATGTCGTCAATCGCCTGTCCGCAGGAGCACTGACCTGCAAGGGCTAACTGGGGGATAGGGAGACCAAGACGAGAAGATGAAGCCGCCTGCCACAGCGCCTCCGGGATGCGCAGTGGGTCGGCGTACGGCACCGACGTCAACCACGCTCCTGCACCTCCGCCCTGAAGGGAAGTCAAACGGGCAAGGTGCAAGGGAGAGGTGTGACGGGCACGCACGGCCTCCAAGGCATGCGCCTCCAGAAGACGGCTCGCTCCTGCAAAAAGGGAATCGGGGGAGGCAGAAGCGCAAGAGGGCCAGGGGGGAAGGAGAGAGAGAACGTCAGGAGGGAGACCCTCTAGCGCCGTCTGCAGAGCCCGGTCGATCTGCTCTGGCTCACCTGAAGCGAAGCTCTGCCGAAACACCTCGCCACACGCAGGGAGAGAACAGAGAATGGGTGCACACTGCACCCAGGAGCACACGAAACTCACCGGGGCCATGCGCGCCATGCGACGAATGCCGAAACCCCCGAGACGGATGGGGAGGAAGATCTGGTCTAGGGCGGCCTCTCGGACGTCCTCGCGACAAGCCCAGGTCCCTGAAGCTAAAAGCTGCTGAAAAGTCTCTCCCAGGCGTGCGTCCCACCGTGTAAAACTGGAGATCACTGCGGGCGAAGGAGGGACGGTCCTCGACAGGTACTGCGGACGAGTGCTGACACACGCCGAAAGAAGGCGGGCAGCTGTCTGGGGCTGGCGCAACCTCGGAAGCCAAGGTAGCACCCGCCCCATCCTCTCGAGACGATCCGGGAGACTCTGCTCCACGAACGAAACGGTGCCTACCGGTACGCCTGTCACGGTGAGCCCTCGGCGTGCGACCTCGATCCCTAGGCCCGTGAAAGCCTCCAGATCCCTGGACAGAAAGGACTCTGTCTGGTAGACGAGGCACTTGTGCGGCTGGGCTGCAAGGCCCATCTCGCCCAAGCGCCTCACGATCTCGGCAAAATGGTGCAGCACCCTGTCTGGGGGACCTAGCACGTACGTGTCATCGGCGTACGACCAGAGCTGGACATCCCCCTCCGCCAGAACCGGCTCCAAAGCAAGACGCTGTGTCAGAGCGTACAAGAAGGGGCTGAGAGGGTCTCCCTGGCGAGTGCCCCGCTCCGAGTGCATCGTGACCACTCCCGTGCCTGACCTGTAGTGGAGATCCGAGGGCGTCCCGTAGAAGAGGCCGATGAAGGGGATCAGACACTGAAACTCCGGACTGGCCTGCAGCGCCTGAAACATCCTGTCTCGGTGGAAAGAGTTAAAGGCATTCGCCACGTCTAGCTGCAGGACCACCCAGTCTGGGTGGTCAGCCAGAGCGCGGCGGACGCCTCTAACTACGACCTCTGTCCCGCACGTAACCCCCACCCCAAACTGCTGTGATGCCAAGAAGACCCTCGCCATCTGGTCACGTAGCTGGAGACAAACTGCCCGAGAAAGAATGCGGACCAAAACCTCGCCGATGGCAATCGGCCGAACATCCATGTTCGACTTCGCCAGAGCCACGAGGGTGGAGGACGCTAGCAAGGAGCGCGCAGCTGGAGCGCAACGGCCTCGGAGCCACTGCTGGTACACGGCCAGGAGGAAATGGAGACTCTGAGGGAAAGCTAGGAAAGTGTCTCGCAGGTGCTCAGCGACCCAACCGGACGGTCCTCCCGAAGAGCCCCGCGGAGCTGTGAAAATCGCGCGGCGTAAGTGATCCACCGAGAGCACGAGAGGGGACCCCTGGAAGCCAGACAGCCAAGCTGGGGTCGGCCTCTCCGCGTTGGGGTGCTTCGACTGCAGGCGCTGTATCGTCCCCTGTGTATCTGGGGCTGCCTCCGCGGACTCGAGAGCCGCGCACGCCCGTGAGGTCTCATTGCACGCTGCCAGACGAAGGCAACGTGCAATGCGGCGCTCATCTGCTGCAGAGGGATCGGTGGCGGTGCGTGACCGGTGACCTGTGCGGCGAGGAAGGGGTGTGCGACGGCCTAGTGCATCTGAGACTAGCTCAGCCCACTCACCTCGACCAAAGCGAGAGATGCGCGTTGCAATGGCAGCCGTGTGCGAGCGGTCGGGTGGCGTCGCTGGAACAAGGAAAAGAGTCGGCGCTGCAGCGAGGAGGAAGGTAGGGCCAGCAGCCTCCGGGTCCTGGGCAATGCGGACTAGGATCGCACTGAGGACGTCAAGATATCCTCCGCGGACCCTCTCCGGGACACGTCGGAGAGGGCGTGTATGGATACGCTCGGGCGAGAAGTACTCTGTCCAGTCCACCGAGTCGAGCGTCTGCCACTGTGCGTCGGTGAACTGCATCCCGGTCGCACGGGGCTGTGAGAGGGAAGGGATGATCGAGGCGGTATCATGGGCAGCCTGCGCCCTGCGAGCCGCGTCCGCAGGATGGCAGAAGGGAATGTGGTGCTGGAGCGCGCGTCGGTTCGCGAGAGAGCTCCTGCAGGTGGGGCAACTCACGACCTGGTCGGGTGATGTCGCCGTGTCGGCGGGGTCAATCGGGGCCGTGGCGTCGGAACTGGCTGTAGAGGGGACCCCGTGGGCGGCCTGAGCTCCGACAGGATCGCCTGGGATGAGGGGAGGAGACGACTCACCAGCCCCGCGCGGGGGGGGTGTCAGCGAAGATAGAGGTGGTGTCGCACAGGATAGGGCCGGGCCTCGTGCCGGCACCGGTGTTGAAGCTGGGGAGGGGGGACGTGGAGGTGAGCCTGAAGTGTGTGCCGTGGTGTGCTCCTGCCCCTCGGCGGGGTGCGGTTCAAGTGACGGCTCTGCTACCCCAGGCGGAGGGGTCTCGGTAGGGGCGGATGCCTCATCCCTACTGCTGGTGACCTCCTGCGCCACGGGCTGAACGGGGGGAGGCGCCACCCCGTCTAGGTGCGAGTGACACGGCCTCAGACCCCGGTCCGTCTCCATTGGGGTCGGGAGTGACGCGCCTGGCTGAGTGGCGGGGGGGATAAAAGAAGGGACAGACCGGGTGACCTCCGCATACGTCCGGGTCCGGTCCTGTGGGACTGGAAGGGTGGGGGCAGCCGGAGAGCTGCTCAGGCGGTGTATCGCCAGCAAATCTGAAATGCCAGCCCTCACCTCCTCTGGGGTCTCGAAGACCTGCCTGCCTGTAGGTGAGAGTAGGAGGGCTGGCAGGGTAGAGGGTGGAGTGGGGCGTGCTGGCTGAGCGGAGCTCGGGTGTGGACCCTGCCCTAGAAGGCCCCCTTGGCCCTCCCCAATCACCATGGGTTGCGGTAGGGGGTCGTCGACATGGAAGGGGTGGGAGGGATGGGAGGGGGAGTCGGTGGCGTCTGCCATGGGCGCATCCCTCAACCCGACGGCCCCCCTCCCAGTAGCGATCGCGGCCGCCGCCACCTGGGAGGGGGACACAGCACGGGAGGGGCAGAATGGGGGTGAGTGGGCTGGTCCGCTCCCATGGCCCTGTGGAGGTGCAGGAGCGGGGCGGGAGTGTAGGTTTGGTGGACGGGCTGTAGAGGTAGGGCCTGGTAATTGTTCAACGGGATGTGAGGTGGGGAGGGGCTCTTGGTGGGGGAGGGAGGGAGGGGGAGTACGTGGGCTGACCCTCTGCCTCCTCTGCCCCTGTTCTTCCGCCGGCGGCCAACCTGGTTGTCCGCGCCTGTTTGTGAAGGAAGGGGGGGCTGTGGGGCCAAAGGGGTGGGTGGAGGGAGGATGGGTGGTTCGCCAGGCAGGGGGTGCTCTGTGTGCATCCCCACTCTCCTCGAAACATCCCCCTCCGTGGGAACAGATCGGGCAAGCTGTGTGTGGGGGGTGATGGCTGCCCAACGGGGCCACTCGTGGGGAACCCGGCCGGGAGAGGGGGTTGGAGGTGGGGGTCGAGGGGCTGGGCCAGTGTGGAGGTTAGAGCGAGGTACAAACGGTGGGGGGAGAGAGATTTGTGTGGGCTCTGTGGTGGCCTCTCCTGTGGGCCCCTCTACCCGGGTGCCGCCGCTCCCATGAGCCTGGGGCGCAAGCCCTTGCGGGTGGGTCTCGGCTGCCTGGGGGGGGTGGTGTGGGGAGGGCAGCCTGTTGGGTGGGCGTGTTGGGGCTGTGCGGCGACTCGGGTGGTTTGGGTGCCTGTAGCGTGTGGGAGAGGGATTTGGCCGCAGAGATGCTTCAACCTCCGAGATGTGTGTACTACCGGGTGGGGGGGGGCCTGGTGGAGGAGGGGGTAGTGGGCCGGTAAGGGGTGGCTGGGTGTTGGTAGGAGTCGGGGAGCATGGCTCCTCTAGGAAGACCAGAGCCCTGGCTGCTCCACGTGGTGCTCTAAGGAGCCCCTGAGGGTGGGGGCAGAGGTGTGCTGCCCTTGGGGGTGAAGGAAGGAGTGAGGGAAGGGGCGGGGAGGGGTGAGAGGTGAGAGAAGGGGTGCCCTCGGGTGACTCTGCTCTTGTCGCACCCGCGTGCTCTCCCGGTGGACCGCCTGCAACCGTGGGGTCAGGCGTTGGGGACGGAGAGGGGGGCTGGCCATGGAGCAGCGTGGGGGTCGGGGAGCACGGCTCCGCCAAGAAGGCCAGGGCCTTGGCTGCCCCCCTGGACACTACCGGGACCTGAGGGTGGGGGTGGGGAAGTGGTGCTCCTGGGGGCTGGTGGGCTGGAGGACGGGAGGTGAGGATGGGGGCTCCCTCGCGCGGCTCTGTCCTCAAGGTCTCCCCCAGCCCCTCCATCGGTCCTTCTGCTAGCATGGGGACGGGCATGGGGGGTAGAGGGGGAACCTCGACGTGAGGCTGCAGGGGGGCCGGGTCGGCCTCACCGTCAAGCGTGAGGTATTGGGCCAGTGGCCCGTCAATGTGCATCACATCCTCTCCCTCATCCTCCTCTATCGCTATCACATCCCCCTCTTCAGTGCCCACCCCGGTCGGGACCACCCTCCCCTCTCCTTCCCCTGTTGCCCCTATGTCCCCCAAGCCCACCCCGCCTGCTGCCGCTTTACTGCTAGCCCCTTTTGCAGTCTCTGCCGGCCCTGCCGGCCCTGCTGTGTGTTTCCCCGAGTTTGCTGCGGCCCCTGCCGCCCCTACTGGCCGTGCTATGGCCCTCCCTGCTGCTTCAGCTGCAGCCTCACCTTCTGCCTTTGAGGCCCCTGCCGTACCCTCTCTTGCTACAGCCGGGGCGGCACTCTCCCTCGCACCAGTCCCCGTTACCCCCTTCCCCGCTGCACCCGTAGCACCTCCCCCTATACCAGCCCCCGCTGTGGCCTCTGTCGCTCCTGCTGCAGTCCTTGCAGCCTCGACTGCTGCAGTCTGTAAAACCTCGCCTACCGTAATCTGCTCAGCCTCACCAGCCGCGATCCCTGTAGCCTCACGTGCTGCAGTCCCTGCAGCCTCACGTGCTGCAGTCCCTGCAGCCTCACCCGCTGCAGTCCCTGCGGCCTCACCTGCTGCAGTCTGTGCAGCCTCACCTGCTAGAATCTGCTCAACCTCACATGCTGCGGCCTCTGCAGCCTCACCTGCTGCGGCTATTTCAGCCTCACCTGCTGCGCTCCCTGCGGCCTCACCTGCCATGGTCCCGCCTGCAGCCTCATCCGCTGTGGTCCCTGCCGCCTCACCTGCTGCAGTCCCTGCGGCCTCACCTGTTGCAGTCCATGCGACCTCACCAGCTGTAGACTGTGCAGCCTCACCTGCTAGAGTCTGCCCAACCTTACATGATGCAGCCCTCGCAGCCTCACCTGCTGCGTCCGCCGCAGCCTCACCTGCTGTGGCCCCTGCAGTCCCGCCTGCTGCGCTCCCTGCAGCCTCGCCTGCTGCGCTCCCTGCAGCCTCGCTTGCTGCGCTCCCTGCGGCCTCACCTGCTGCGCTCTCTGCAGCCTCACCTGCTGCGCCCCCTACAGCCTCACCTGCTGCGCTCCCTGCGGCCTCACCTGCCATGGTCCCTCCTGCAGCCTCACCCGTTGTGATCCCTGCAGCCACACCTGCTGTGGTCTGTGCGGCCTCACCTGGTGCGGTCCCTATAGCCTCCTCTGCTGCGGTTCCCCCAGCCGACACAGCAGCAGGTTCCGTGGCCCCTACTCCTGCAAAACCTGTCTCCATGGCCTCTGCCCTTTGCCTGGCCAGAGTCACGGTCCCTGCCGCCCCTTCCCGTGCAGCCCCTGCCGCCCTTTCCCGTGCAGCCGCTGCTGCCCCTTCCCTTGCAGCCTCTGCTGCCCTTTCCTCTGCAGCCTCTGCTGCCCCTTCCCCCACAACCCCCATTGCCCCTTCCCGTGCAGCCTTTGCTGCCCCATCCTCTGTAGCCTCTGCTGCTCCTTCACACACAAACTCACTTACCCCTTCCCGTGCAGTGTCAGCTGCAAGTTCCCCCCTGGCTCTGCCCTCTCCCGCTTCTATGTGCTTGGGGGTGCGGGTAGGATTAAGTGTTTTCACAAGTAATCTGGTTTGCGAATGGGAGGTAGCGAGTGAGTTGGAGGATCTCTCTACTGAGCATGCATGGGTGCCGCCCCCGCTGTCACCTGAAGGGGGGGTTAGACTGGGATGGGGCAGCGGGGGTAGGGCGCGGTTTTGAGCGTGCTGGCTCCTCCTCGTGTATTTCCTCCAGTGGGGCTTGGCGTTCCTCTGTTCCATCCTCTTCAAAGGTACGCTTCTGGCCCCTAGGGTCAGATTGTGTGAGTGTTTTCGCTTGGTCAGGTGTGTGTTGTTTCTTCCTGACTGTTGAAGTGGGGGGAGTGGGAGAGTAGGGGGTGGCTCGGCTGCGGGACCTCCCAGATCGCCGAGGGGCTCCCGGGCCTGCCTTTCCCCCACTCGCGGGGTGCTGGGGCATTGTTACAGAGGCAGCATGCCTGGCGGTGGCGGTGTGAGTTGCTGGGGTTGGCTCAAGAGGGCGTCAAAGGGGGAAGGAACTCCCTGGCAGAGGCCGGGGTGCGGGGGGTTAGCTTGGGGAAAGGGGAAAAGGGTGGGGAAAGCGGTGCGCAGTGGGTGGAAGAGAGGGTAGAGGGGGCCTGACAGTTGGAGGGGATTGGGGCCCAAGGGGGGGGGCGGGCTGGGGGCCGATTGAGAGGGGAAGTGTTGGCGGGCTGTAGTGGAGGTGGGGGGGCGGGGGTGGTGTAGCGGTGGGTGAGCAGGGTGTGGGGACAGGTGGTGGGCCAGAGGTGGGGAGGGCAGGGCAGAATTCCACGGGAGGTGGGGGTGGGCAGGTGGAGCCAGGTGGGAAAGGAAGGGTGGGGAACAGAGAGGAAGGGGCAAAGGGTAGTGGGTAGTCGAGTTGGCGTGAGCCTGGTAGCGGGTAATGAGAAGGTTGGGAGGCGGGGGGTGAGAACGTGGGAGGGCAGAGAGGGCACCGAAAGGAGGTGCTGTGGTAAATGCAGGATAGGATGCGGGGCCGGGAAACAGGGGACAGAGGGAATTGGGGAATCGATGAAGGGTGATAGCTGCGGATGGGCGAGCCCCAGGGGGGAGGAAATATGGAGGGTGTTGGAGAAGGGGGAGACTGGGGGGGGTTGAGGTAGGGTGTTGGAGGGCACAAGGGGCAGGAACAGGGGGTGCAAAAGTTGGCTGGGGGAGGGAGAGGCGGTCTGGTGCCGCGGAAAGGCGGAGGGAGGTTGGGGACGGCACAGCCCAGGGAGCAAAAGCAAGGGGTGTAGACCTTGGCTGGGGGTAGGAACGGCGGTGTGGAGTTAGGGAGAGGTAGAGGGAGGCTGGGGTAGGTGGCTGGATTGCGCAGGGAGCAGGGGCAGGGGGTGTAGAGATTGGATGGGGGTGGGAAAGGCGGCGTGGTGCCAGGTGGCGGCAGTGGGTCACCGAAGGGCCTGGCAGGGCGGGATGCAGAGGTGCAGCCCACGCTGGATGCGGAAGTAGCTGGGGGGGAAAGGGAGGCTGGAGGGGGAAGTACGGCTCGTAGAGGTGTGGGGGGCAGAGTGGGAGTGGGGAAAGCAGGAAGGGGGGTGGAGGGACGTTGTGGACAGGGGAGTGGGGGAACATGCGGGTGATGATAGGGAGAAGCCGGGGGGGGGGGGAGAAGGGGGAGGTGGTATGAAGTGGGCAAGGGTGACGCACGGGCAGAGCGCGGCGGTACTAAGGGCAGGGAGACGGGAGGCTGGGGGGAGAAAGGCCTGCTTGGGGGCGTGGTGGGGGATAAGGGGAGAGGGGCGGTAATGCTGGTGGGCAAAAGGGGAGGGTGTGGTGTAGTATGATGAAACAGAATGGGGGGGTGGCGGACTGGGTGGGGCCCTGGAGGGTTGGGAGAACAAGGTGTAAGCTGCCTTTCTGATTTTTCCTGGTTTTTTCGGATTTATATGAATTTCTTTTTCTTTTCTTTTTTCCTTGAAGTTGTTTCCTCTTATTTCCTACGGTTTCCAGAAACAGGGCGGCCTCTGCTAGCTAAGCGCCGTTAGGGAAAGAGGTTAGGTGGCGGGGTGGCTAAAGCGCGCGTGTGAGGGGGAAAGGGGCGGTGTGAGCAGGGAGGTGACTATGTGGGTGGCGACGGGGTAAAATTACGACGTGTGGGTGGCATGCACGAGTGCGCGACGAGGCACGGCAGGGTGGGAGTGAGCAAAAGGGGAGTGGGGCGGCTTGTGTGCCAAACGTGGGCGGCTAAAACGCTCTAGGCAGAAAACGCGCTTCGGGAGGCGCGCAAGGGGAGGGCTGCTTAATCGCTACGAACGTAGCAATTTCGCCTCCCTCCGCGCTGCCTTTCCCTGGCGGTAAGCGCCCCGTGCGCGGTTCCGTCTACGTCGCGGCTAGATTGAACAGGCGGGGAAACGAGTGCATGACTAAACATGATAGGCGACGAGAAAGCGTGCTTGGAAACGCGCGGCTCTTCGAATTAGGGTTACGATAAAGAAGGGCGCACCGAAAGGGAAGGAAGAGTGCTAACTACGGGCGGAAGCTAAGCTCAGTGACTTCGAGAGAGGGAAACCGCGGGAAAAAACTCGGTAGCAGCTAATCGCTTCGAATAGAAAAGCCGTGAGCAGAAAAGAGCGGGGGGATAAGGGAGAGTGTCGAGAGAGGGGATGGGCGGGAACACCGTGTCTGGCGGAGTTGTGGTTGTGAGTCGCGCGCGCTGTTACACTCCGCGGGCGAACTTCGCGTCAGCGCCCCACCTCCCGTTACACCGGCTGCAGCGCGTCCGCAGCGATCCCGCGATGGCGGGGTCGAACAAACGGTTCCGTAACACCCCGCGAGTTCCGTTTCCGAGACTCCTGAGGGTCGCGCGCGAAACTCGCGACCCCCGTCCCGTCGAACTCGACAGTCGAAACTAAAAAACTAACCGTTGGAAACGCTTATAACTATAACATAAACAACTATCACAATCACTTTGTCCTTAAGCAACTCGAAATAGTAGGTTTAGGAGGCTCCTTAGTAGGCAGCCATGGCTAGGTAAGCTAGGTCAAGGTAAGAGCGCCGGTGGGCGAGAGCAGTACTGGGCTGGGTGACCTCCCGGGAAGTCCTCGTGTTGTACCCATTTATGCCCCTTGCTCGGCACGTGCCGGGGGAGGGGCAAGCGGGAAAAAGAAAGGACGATTTCAGCGCGTCCGATTTTTTCATTTTCGTTTTTTTGCCCCGAACAACGACCCAGCGGGGTGGGGGGCCCCCGGGGAGGCTTGCCCGTGCGAAGAAACGCCCCGTGCGCACCACCGTTGGGCGGTTGGAAGCCGCACACGGTCGCGGGGGTGGAGAGCGGAAACGGGCAGCCGGGGGAGGGTGGGGGCGGTTTGGATGGGACTGGGGTGTACGGGGGGCAGGGGAGTTGAGGGGGCAAGGGGAGGGGCAGCAACGGGCAGGGGCTGGGCCAGCTGAGGGCACGGAAAAGGGGCGGGCAGAGGGTGAGCAGAGGGGCGAGCGATGCAAGGGAGGCACCATAGGGGGGGGAAACCAGTTGCACGGAGGTGGGAGGTGAGGGGCGTGCGAGGGGGTGGGAAAGGGGCAGGGAGGGGCAGAATGGGAGGATGTGGGTGGGGGGGTGGGGGAGGGAGTGTGCGTGTGTGTGTGTGTGAGAAAGAGAGAGAGGGAAAGGGAGGGGGGAGAGAAGGGTGGGAGGGGGGCTGGTGGTGGGGATGGGCTGATGGTGGTAAGAGGGCAGCAGGGATGGGGAGAAGGGAGCGTAACGAGGGGAGAGCAAAGGGCAGGGGGGGAGGAAGGGAGGGGCAGGGAGGGAAGAGGCTGAACGTACAAAGGGGGGAAACGAGGGGCATGGATGGTAGGAAACAAGGGCAGGGGTGCGGGAAATCAAGGGCAGGGAGGGAGAAGCAATGGGTGAGGGGAAAACAAGGGAGGGGCAGAGGGGTGGGCAGGGAGGGAAGAAACGTGGGGCAGGGAGGGGAGAAGCCAAAGACAGGGCATGGGCAGGCGGGGGCAGGGAGGGAGCAGAGGAGAGGCACGGAGAAAGAAAGGGAGGCGCGGGGAGGGGAGAAACCGGGCGTGGGGGGGGGGCGGAAAACGAGGGGCAGGGCGGGGAGGAGGGAGGGGCAGGGAGGGGAGAAGCTGAGCACACAGAGGGGGGAAAGGTGGGGCAGGGAGGTAGGAAGCCAAGGGCAAGGGTGGGAGAGTGGGGGGGCAGGGAGAGGGGGGAGGTGGGGGGCGGAGAAAGGCGGCGAGGGGCAGGGTGCGGATTGAGGAGGGGCAGGGAGTGGAGTGGGTCGGCGAGGGGAAGGAAGAGGCGTGCAGCAGAGGAGGGGAGGGGGGAGGAGAAGGTAAACGAGGGGAGCGCACGGGCGGGGAGGAGCGAATGGCGGGCGGTGGGAAACGGCGAGGGGGGCAGGGAGGGTCAAAAGAGGCGGCAAGGGAGCGGGCACGCGGAGGGTAGGGGCGGGGGGAGCGGATGGCATGAGGGGGCAGGGGGGTGTGACTGTGAAGGGGGGGACCCGGGCAAGGGGTGTGTACCGGTCGGGGCACGGGGTTGACGTGGTACGATCATACCTCGGCTACTACGCCGGATCCCATCAGAACTCCGAAGCTAAGCGCCGGTGGGCGAGAGCAGTACTGGGCTGGGTGCCCATGATACCGCCTCGATCATCCCTTCCCTCTCACAGCCCCGTGCGACCGGGATGCAGTTCACCGACGCACAGTGGCAGACGCTCGACTCGGTGGACTGGACAGAGTACTTCTCGCCCGAGCGTATCCATACACGCCCTCTCCGACGTTGTCCCGGAGAGGGTCCGCGGAGGATATCTTGACGTCCTCAGTGCGATCCTAGTCCGCATTGCCCAGGACCCGGAGGCTGCTGGCCCTACCTTCCTCCTCGCTGCAGCGCCGACTCTTTTCCTTGTTCCAGCGACGCCACCCGACCGCTCGCACACGGCTGCCATTGCAACGCGCATCTCTCGCTTTGGTCGAGGTGAGTGGGCTGAGCTAGTCTCAGATGCACTAGGCCGTCGCACCACCCCTTCCTCGCCGCACAGGTCACCGGTCACGCACCGCCACCGATCCCTCTGCAGCAGATGAGCGCCGCATTGCACGTTGCCTTCGTCTGGCAGCGTGCAATGAGACCTCACGGGCGTGCGCGGCTCTCGAGTCCGCGGAGGCAGCCCCAGATACACAGGGGACGATACAGCGCCTGCAGTCGAAGCACCCCAACGCGGAGAGGCCGACCCCAGCTTGGCTGTCTGGCTTCCAGGGGTCCCCTCTCGTGCTCTCGGTGGATCACTTACGCCGCGCGATTTTCACAGCTCCGCGGGGCTCTTCGGGAGGACCGTCCGGTTGGTCGCTGAGCACCTGCGAGACACTTTCCTAGCTTTCCCTCAGAGTCTCCATTTCCTCCTGGCCGTGTACCAGCAGTGGCTCCGAGGCCGTTGCGCTCCAGCTGCGCGCTCCTTGCTAGCGTCCTCCACCCTCGTGGCTCTGGCGAAGTCGAACATGGATGTTCGGCCGATTGCCATCGGCGAGGTTTTGGTCCGCATTCTTTCTCGGGCAGTTTGTCTCCAGCTACGTGACCAGATGGCGAGGGTCTTCTTGGCATCACAGCAGTTTGGGGTGGGGGTTACGTGCGGACAGAGGTCGTAGTTAGAGGCGTCCGCCGCGCTCTGGCTGACCACCCAGACTGGGTGGTCCTGCAGCTAGACGTGGCGAATGCCTTTAACTCTTTCCACCGAGACAGGATGTTTCAGGCGCTGCAGGCCAGTCCGGAGTTTTCAGTGTCTGATCCCCTTCATCGGCCTCTTCTACGGGACGCCCTCGGATCTCCACTACAGGTCAGGCACGGGAGTGGTCACGATGCACTCGGAGCGGGGCACTCGCCAGGGAGACCCTCTCAGCCCCTTCTTGTACGCTCTGACACAGCGTCTTGCTTTGGAGCCGGTTCTGGCGGAGGGGATGTCCAGCTCTGGTCGTACGCCGATGACACGTACGTGCTAGGTCCCCCAGACAGGGTGCTGCACCATTTTGCCGAGATCGTGAGGCGCTTGGGCGAGATGGGCCTTGCAGCCCAGCCGCACAAGTGCCTCGTCTACCAGACAGAGTCCTTTCTGTCCAGGGATCTGGAGGCTTTCACGGGCCTAGGGATCGAGGTCGCACGCCGAGGGCTCACCGTGACAGGCGTACCGGTAGGCACCGTTTCGTTCGTGGAGCAGAGTCTCCCGGATCGTCTCGAGAGGATGGGGCGGGTGCTACCTTGGCTTCCGAGGTTGCGCCAGCCCCAGACAGCTGCCCGCCTTCTTTCGGCGTGTGTCAGCACTCGTCCGCAGTACCTGTCGAGGACCGTCCCTCCTTCGCCCGCAGTGATCTCCAGTTTTACACGGTGGGACGCACGCCTGGGAGAGACTTTTCAGCAGCTTTTAGCTTCAGGGACCTGGGCTTGTCGCTGAGGACGTCCGAGAGGCCGCCCTAGACCAGATCTTCCTCCCCATCCGTCTCGGGGGTTTCGGCATTCGTCGCATGGCGCGCATGGCCCCCGGTGAGTTTCGTGTGCTCCTGGGTGCAGTGTGCACCCATTCTCTGTTCTCTCCCTGCGTGTGGCGAGGTGTTTCGGCAGAGCTTCGCTTCAGGTGAGCCAGAGCAGATCGACCGGGCTCTGCAGACGGCGCTAGAGGGTCTCCCTCCTGACGTTCTCTCTCTCCTTCCCCCCTGGCCCTCTTGCGCTTCTGCCTCCCCCGATTCCCTTTTTGCAGGAGCGAGCCGGTCTTCTGGAGGCGCATGCCTTGGAGGCCGTGCGTGCCCGTCACACCTCTCCCTTGCACCTTGCCCGTTTGACTTCCCTTCAGGGCGGAGGTGCAGGAGCGTGGTTGACGTCCGGTGCCGTACGCCGACCCACTGCGCATCCCGGAGGCGCTGTGGCAGGCGGCTTCATCTTCTCGTCTTGGTCTCCCTATCCCCCAGTTAGCCCTTGCAGGTCAGTGCTCCTGCGGACAGGCGATTGACGACATGACGGTGCCTCATCACGCGGTTCGGTGCCCGCGTTACGGGGTCGCCACTACCATCCACGACACGGTGAAGTACATGCTTCGAGACTTTGCGGTCGAGGCGGGCTTCGCGGTAAAGGTGGAGGACTATACGCTGTTCACACAGTTGGAGGCGGCTCGAGCGAGACTACTGGGACAGCCAGTGGTGGGAGAGGGGACACGGGCTGAGGGACCGGGGGAGCGGAGAGGCGAGGCGGGACAGCCGGGTGGCGGGGGACAGTGGGGACGGCACCAGCTGCGGGGTCAGGTGGAGCGAGGGACAGGTGGGCAGAGGGGACGGCAGGGGGAGCAGACGGGCCAGGACGGGGAGGGGGGACGGCACAGGCAGCAGCAGGGAGAGCCAGTGGAGGCCGCGGGCCCAGGGCGCCGCGCCTCCAGGTTCGGCCTCGGGGGCGGGGCAGGGGCGGGAGCAGCAGAGAGCGGACGGAGGTACAGGAGGGCAGCGGGATTGGGAGGGGAGGGCCAGGGAGTGAGAGAGGCAGCAGGGGATGGAGCAGGGGGGTCGGGAGGTTTGGGGGAGGGTAGGGAGGGGGAGGGGAGAGGACAGGTGGATGGAGGAGAGGAGAGGGGGAAGAGAGACGATCGGAGAGGGGGCACCAAGGGACCAGACAGGGCAGCAGCCAGCGCAACAGCAGGGACCAGTCGGACGCACAGGCCGTGTAGGCACCGCCTCCCGCATTCCAGACCTCACCTGCCGCGACGTTTGGCCAGGGTCTGATGGTTCTTGTGGATGTCTCCATAGCGGATCCACAGCGGGAGGGAACGTGCAGCTGAGACGGGCGACCCCCACACAGATTGGAGTTGCAGCAGCTAGGCGGGTGCAGGAGAAGCTGCGTCACTGGGGGCCGCACTTAGAGGGGCTGCAGCCGGCACCACACTTTTACGCGTGCGTGGCGGAGACCTTTGGCCTTCTGAGTGAGCCGCTGCGTCAGTTTCTGGGGCTCTGCGCAAAGAGGATAGCACAGCGGAGGAGGGATAGAGGTGGGTGGGGATGACGGATCGGCACGGATATTTGAGGCAGGACTCACTACACGCCTCTCCGTTGCACTGCAGCGCGCGCAGGCTCAATGCATGATCCAGCATGCGGTGCGGCAGTTAGGGAGGTCCGACGACGGTGGATGCCCGCACCAGTCCCACTGGGTGCGGGGCAGGGAACTTGGCACCACGTCACAGGGTGCTTCGAGAGTGTGGCTGATATGCAGTATATATATGATGCATATGTGTAAAAAACAATAGTGGCTGTGCTTGAAACGCTGTGCCCGTGCGGTCGTTGCGGGTTGCTGCCGTGTTTGGTCCTTTGGTGCTTCCTTCTCCTTAGTCTCTCTCTCTCTCTCCTCTTCTCTTCCCACCCTCCCTCTTTCTGTTCCCTTCTTCTATCCTTCCCTTCTCTTCCTACCACCCTCTTCCTTTCCCTACCACTTCTTCTTACTCCTTCATCTTTCCTTCCTTTCCTTTCTTTCCCCCTTTTCCTACAAAATATATAAATCGTCCTCATAGCGCTTAGGCTATGTCGAAATTTCCTAGTCTTGGAAAAACCATTATATTCGGCTTGTATTTGCTCTTCCCTTATTAATGAATAACTGCTCTCGCCCACCGGCGCTTAGCTTCGGAGTTCTGATGGGATCCGGCGTAGTAGCCGAGGTATGATCGTACCACGTCAACCCCGTGCCCCGACCGGTACACACCCCTTGCCCGGGTCCCCCACTTCACAGTCACACCCCCTGCCCCCTCATGCCATCCGCTCCCCCCGCCCCTACCCTCCGCGTGCCCGCTCCCCTTGCCGCCTCTTTTGACACTCCCTGCCCCCCTCGCCGTTTCCCACGCCCGCATTCGCTCCTCCCCGCCCGTGCGCTCCCCTCGTTTACCTTCTCCTCCCCCCTCCCCTCCTCTGCTGCACGCCTCTTCCTTCCCCTCGCCGACCCCACTCCACTCCCTGCCCCTCCTCAATCCGCACCCTGCCCCTCGTATCTCGCCCCCCTATGCTTGGTTTCTCCCCCTCCCCTGCCCCCTCGCCGCCTTTCTCCGCCCCCCACCCTCCCCCCTCTCCCTGCCCCCCCCACCTCTCCCACCCTTGCCCTTGGCTTCCTACCTCCCTGCCCCACCTTTCCCCCCTCTGTGTGCTCAGCTTCTCCCCTCCCTGCCCCTCCCTCCTCCCCGCCCTGCCCCTCGTTTTCCGCCCCCCCACGCCGGTTTCTCCCCTCCCCGCGCCTCCCTTTCTTTCTCCGTGCCTCTCCTCTGCTCCCTCCCTGCCCCCGCTCTGCCCATGCCCCTGTCTCTGGCTTCTCCCCTCCCTGCCCCACGTTTCTTCCCTCCCTGCCCACCCCCTCTGCCCCTCCCTTGTTTTCCCCTCACCCATTGCTTCTCCCTCCCTGCCCTTGATTCCGCACCCCTGCCCTTGTTTTCCTACCATCCATGCCCCTCGTTTCCCCCCTTTGTACGTTCAGCCTCTTCCCTCCCTGCCCCTCCCTTCCTCCCCCCCTGCCCTTTGCTCTCCCCTCGTTACGCTCCCTTCTCCCCATCCCTGCTGCCCTCTTACCACCATCAGCCCATCCCCACCACCAGCCCCCCTCCCACCCTTCTCTCCCCCCTCCCTTTCCCTCTCTCTCTTTCTCACACACACACACGCACACTCCCCTCCCCCACCCCCCCCACCCACATCCTCCCATTCTGCCCCTCCCTGCCCCTTTCCCACCCCCTCGCACGCCCCTCACCTCCCACCTCCGTGCAACTGGTTTCCCCCCCCCTATGGTGCCTCCCTTGCATCGCTCGCCCCCTCTGCTCACCCTCTTGCCCGCCCCTTTTCCGTGCCCTCAGCTGGCCCAGCCCCTGCCCGTTGCTGCCCCTACCCCTTGCCCCCCTCAACTCCCCTGCCCCCCCGTACACCCCAGTCCCATCCAACCGCCCCCACCCTCCCCCGGCTGCCCGTTTCCGCTCTCCACCCCCGCGACCGTGTGCGGCTTCCAACCGCCCAACGGTGGTGCGCACGGGGCGTTTCTTCGCACGGGCAAGCCTCCCCGGGGGGCCCCCACCCCCGCTGGGTCGTTGTTCGGGCAAAAAAACGAAAATGAAAACATCGGACGCGCTGAAATCGTCCTTTCTTTTTCCCGCTTGCCCCTCCCCCGGCACGTGCCGAGCAAGGGGCATAAATGGGTACAACACGAGGACTTCCCGGGAGGTCACCCAGCCCAGTACTGCTCTACGCTGTTCACACAGTTGGAGGCGGCTCGAGCGAGACTACTGGGACAGCCAGTGGTGGGAGAGGGGACACGGGCTGAGGGACCGGGGGAGCGGAGAGGCGTGGCGGGACAGCCGGGTGGCGGGGGACAGTGGGGACGGCACCAGCTGCGGGGTCAGGTGGAGCGAGGGACAGGTGGGCAGAGGGACGGCAGGGGGAGCAGACAGGCCAGGACAGGGAGGGGGGACGGCACAGGCAGCAGCAGGAGAGCCAGTGGAGGCCGCGGGCCCAGGGCGCCGCGCCTCCAGGTTCGGCCTTGGGGGCGGGGCAGGGGCGGGAGCAGCAGAGAGCGGACGGAGGTACAGGAGGGGCAGCGGGATGGGAGGGGAGGGCCAGGGAGTGAGAGAGGCAGCAGGGGATGGAGCAGGGGGGTTCGGGAGGTTTGGGGGAGGGTTAGAGAGGGGGAGGGGAGAGGACAGGTGGATGGAGGAGAGGAGAGGGGCAGAGAGACGATCGGAGAGGGGGCACCAAGGGACCAGACAGGGCAGCAGCCAGCGCAACAGCAGGGACCAGTCGGACGCACAGGCCGTGTAGGCACCGCCTCCCGCATTCCAGACCCCACCTGCCGCGACGTGGCCAGGGTCTGATGGTTCTTGTGGATGTCTCCATAGCGGATCCACAGCGGGAGGGGAACGTGCAGCTGAGACGGGCGACCCCCACACAGATTTGGAGTGGCAGCAGCTAGGCGGGTGCAGGAGAAGCTGCGTCACTGGGGGCCGCACTTAGAGGGGCTGCAGCCGGCACCACACTTTTACGCGTGCGTGGCGGAGACCCTTTGGCCTTCTGAGTGAGCCGCTGCGTCAGTTTCTGGGGCTCTGCGCAAAGAGGATAGCACAGCGGAGGAGGGATAGAGGTGGGGGGGATGACGGATCGGCACGGATATTTGAGGCAGGACTCACTACACGCCTCTCCGTTGCACTGCAGCGCGCGCAGGCTCAATGCATGATCCAGCATGCGGTGCGGCAGTTAGGGAGGTCCGACGACGGGTGGATGCCCGCACCCAGTCCCACTGGGTGCGGGGCAGGGAACTTGGCACCACGTCACAGGGTGCTTCGAGAGTGGTGGCTGATATGCAGTATATATATGATGCATATGTGTAAAAAAACAATAGTGGCTGTGCTTGAAACGCTGTGCCCGTGCGGTCGTGCGGGTTGCTGCCGTGTTTGGTCCTTTTGGTGCTTCCTCCTCCTTAGTCTCTCTCTCTCTCTCCTCTTCTCTTCCCACCTCCCTCTTTCTGTTCCCTTCTTCTATCCTTCCCTTCTCTTCCTACACCCTCTTCCTTTCCCTACCACTTCTTCTTACTCCTTCATCTTTCCTTCCTTTCCTTTCTTTCCCCCTTTTCCTACAAAATATATATATCGGTCCTCATAGCGCTTAGGCTGTGTCGAAATTTCCTTGTCTTGGAAAAACCATTATATTCGGCTTGTATATGCTCTTCCCTTATTAATGAATAACTGCTCTCGCCCACCGGCGCTTAGCTTCGGAGTTCTGATGGGATCCGGCGTAGTAGCCGAGGTATGATCGTACCACGTCAACCCCGTGCCCCGACCGGTACACACCCCTTGCCCGGGTCCCCCCTTCACAGTCACACCCCCTGCCCCCTCATGCCATCCGCTCCCCCCGCCCCTACCCTCCGCGTGCCCGCTCCCTTGCCGCCTCTTTTGACCCTCCCTGCCCCCCTCGCCTGTTTCCCACCGCCCGCCATTCGCTCCTCCCCCGCCCGTGCGCTCCCCTCGTTTACCTTCTCCTCCCCCCTCCCCTCCTCTCTGCTGCACGCCTCTTCCTTCCCCTCGCCGACCCACTCCACTCCCTGCCCCTCCTCAATCCGCACCCTGCCCTCGTATCTCGCCCCCCTATGCTTGGTTTCTCCCCTCCCTGCCCCTCGCCGCCTTTCTCCGCCCCCCACCCTCCCCCCTCTCCCTGCCCCCCCCACTCTCCCACCCTTGCCCTGGCTTCCTACCTCCCTGCCCCACCTTTCCCCCCTCTGTGTGCTCAGCTTCTCCCCTCCCTGCCCCTCCCTCCTCCCGCCCTGCCCCTCGTTTTCCGCCCCCCACGCCCGGTTTCTCCCCTCCCCGCGCCTCCCTTTCTTTCTCCGTGCCTCTCCTCTGCTCCCTCCCTGCCCCCGCCTGCCCATGCCCCTGTCTTTGGCTTCTCCCCTCCCTGCCCCACGTTTCTTCCCTCCCTGCCCACCCCCTCTGCCCCTCCCTTGTTTTCCCCTCACCCATTGCTTCTCCCCTCCTGCCTTGATTTCCCGCACCCCTGCCCTTGTTCTCCTACCATCCATGCCCCTCGTTTTCCCCCCCTTTGTACGTTCAGCCTCTTCCCTCCCTGCCCCTCCTTCCTCCCCCCCTGCCCTTTGCTCTCCCCTCGTTACGCTCCCTTCTCCCCATCCCTGCTGCCCTCTTACCACCATCAGCCCATCCCCACACCAGCCCCCCTCCCACCCTTCTCTCCCCCCCTCCCTTTCCCTCTCTCTCTTTCTCACACACACACACGCACACTCCCTCCCCCACCCCCCCACCCACATCCTCCCATTCTGCCCCTCCCTGCCCCTTTCCCACCCCCCTCGCACGCCCCTCACCTCCCACCCTCCGTGCAACTGGTTTCCCCCCCCTATGGTGCCTCCCTTGCATCGCTCGCCCCTCTGCTCACCCTCTGCCCGCCCCTTTTCCGTGCCCTCAGCTGGCCCAGCCCCTGCCCGTTGCTGCCCCTCCCCTTGCCCACTCAACTCCCCTGCCCCCCGTACACCCCAGTCCCATCCAACCGCCCCCACCCTCCCCGGCTGCCCGTTCCGCTCTCCACCCCCGCGACCGTGTGCGGCTTCCACCGCCCAACGGTGGTGCGCACGGGGCGTTTTTCGCACGGCAAGCCTCCCCGGGGCCCCCCACCCCGCTGGTCGTTTGTTCGGGCAAAAAAACGAAAATAAAAAAATCGGACGCGCTGAAATCGTCCTTCTTTTTTCCCGCTTGCCCCTCCCCCGGCACGTGCCGAGCAAGGGGCATAAATGGGTACAACACGAGGACTTCCCGGGAGGTCACCCAGCCCAGTACTGCTCTCGCCCACGGAGTTTTTTCCCGCGGTTTCCCTTCTCGAAGTCACTGAGCTTAGCTTCGCCCGTAGTTAGCACTCTTCCTTCCCTTTCGGTGCGCCCTTCTTTATCGTAACCCTAATTCGTAAGAGCCGCGCGTTTCAAAGCACGCTTTCTCGTCGCCTATCATGTTTAGTCATGCACTCGTTTTCCCCGCCTGTTCAATCTAGCCGCGACGTAGACGGAACCGCGCACGGGGCGCTTACCGCCAGGGAAAGGCAGCGCGGAGGGAGGCGAAATTGCTACGTTCGTAGCGATTAAGCAGCCCTCCCTTGCGCGCCTCCCGAAGCGCGTTTTCTGCCTACAGCGTTTTAGCCGCCCACGTTTGGCACACAAGCCGCCCCACTCCCCTTTGCTTCACTCCCACCCTGCCGTGCCTCGTCGCGCACTCGTCATGCCACACCCACACGTCGTAATTTTACCCCGTCGCCACCCACATAGTCACCTCCCTGCTCACACCGCCCCTTCCCCCTCACACGCGCGCTTTAGCCACCCCGCCACCTAACCTCTTTCCCTAACGGCGCTTAGCTAGCAGAGGCCGCCCTGTTCTGGAAACCGTAGGAAATAAGAGGAAACAACTTCAAGGAAAAAAGAAAAGAAAAAGAAATTCATATAAATCCGAAAAAACCAGGAAAAAATCAGAAAGGCAGCTTACACCTTGTTCTCCCAACCCTCCAGGGCCCCACCCAGTCCGCCACCCCCCATTCTGTTTCATCATACTACACCACACCCTCCCTTTGCCCACCAGCATTACGCCCTCTCCCCTTATCCCCCACCACGCCCCCAAGCAGGCCTTTCTCCCCCAGCCTCCCGTCTCCCTGCCCTTAGTACCGCCGCGCTCTGCCCGTGCGTCACCCTTGCCCACTTCATACCACCTCCCCCTTCTCCCCCCCCCCCGGCTTCTCCCTATATCACCCGCATGTCCCCACTCCACTGTCCACAACGTCCCTCCACCCCCTTCCTGCTTTCCCCACTCCCACTCTGCCCCCCACACCTCTACGAGCCGTACTTCCCCCTCCAGCCTCCCTTTTCCCCCCAGCTACTTCCGCATCCAGCGTGGGCTGCACCTCTGAATCCCGCCCCTGCCAGGCCCTTCGGTGACCCCAAACTGCGCCACCTGGCACCACGCCGCCTTTCCCACCCCATCCAAATCTACACCCCCTGCCCCTGCTCCCTGCGCAATCCAGCCACCTACCCCAGCCTCCCTTACCTCTTTTTTTCCCTAACTCCACACCGCCGTTCCTACCCCCGCCCAGGTCTACACCCTTGCTTTTGCTCCCTGGGCTGTGCCGTCCCCAACCTCCCTCCGCCGTTCCGCGGCACCAGACCGCCTCTCCCTCCCCAGCCAACTTTTGCACCCCTGTTCCGGCCCCTTGTGCCCTCCAACACCCTACCTCAACCCCCCCAGTCTCCCCCTTCTCCAACACCCTCCATATTTCCTCCCCCTGGGGCTCGCCCATCCGCAGCTATCACCCTTCATCGATTCCCCAATTCCCTCTGTCCCCTGTTTCCGGGCCCCGCATCCTATCCTGCATTTACCACAGCACCTCCTTTCGGTGCCCTCTCTGCCCTCCCACGTTCTACCCCACGCCTCCCAACCTTTCTCATTACCCGCTACCAGGCTCACGCCAACTCGACTACCACTACCCTTTGCCCTCCTCTCTGTTCCCCACCTTTCCTTTTCCACCTGGCTCCACCTGCCCACCCCCACCTCCCGTGGAATTCTGCCTGCCTCCCCCACCTTGGCCCACCACCTGTCCCCACACCCTGCTCACCCACCGCTACACCACCCCCGCCCCCCCACCTCCACTACAGCCCGCCAACACTTCCCCTCTCAATCGGCCCCCAGCCCGCCCCCCCTTGGGCCCCAATCCCCTCCAACTGTCAGGCCCCCTATACCCTCTCTCCACCCACTGCGCACCGCTTTCCCCACCCTTTCCCCTTTCCCAAGCTAACCCCCGCACCCCGGCCTCTGCCAGGAGTTCCTTCCCCTTTGACGCCCTCTTGAGCCAACCCCAGCAACTCACACGCCACCGCCAGGCATGCTGCCTCTGTAACAATGCCCCAGCACCGCGAGTGGGGGAAAGGCAGGCCGGGAGCCCCTCGGCGATCTGGAGGTACCGCAGCCGAGCCACCCATACTCTCCCACTCCCCCACTTCAACAGTCAGGAAGAAACAACACACCCCTGACCAAGCGAAAACACTCACACAATCTGACCCTAGGGGCCAGAAGCGTACCTTTGAAGAGGATGGAACAGAGGAACGCCAAGCCCCACTGGAGAAAAACACGAGGAGGAGCCAGCACGCTCAAAACCGCGCCCTACCCCCGCTGCCCCATCCCAGTCTACCCCCCTTCAGGTGACAGCGGGGCGGCACCCATGCATGCTCAGTAGAGAGATCCTCCAACTCACTCGCTACCTCCCATTCGCAAACCAGATTACTTGTGAAAACACTAATCCTACCCGCACCCCCAAGCACATAGAAGCGGGAGAGGGCAGAGCCAGGGGGGAACTTGCAGCTGACACTGCACGGGAAGGGTATAGTGAGTTTGTGTGTGAAGGAGCAGCAGAGGCTACAGAGGATGGGCAGCAAAGGCTGCACGGGAGGGGCAATGGGGGTTGTGGGGGAAGGGGCAGCAGAGGCTGCAGAGGAAAGGGCAGCAGAGGCTGCAAGGGAAGGGGCAGCAGCGGCTGCACGGGAAAGGGCGGCAGGGGCTGCACGGGAAGGGGCGGCAGGGACCGTGACTCTGGCCAGGCAAAGGGCAGAGGCCATGGAGACAGGTTTTGCAGAGTAGGGGCCACGGAACTGCTGCTGCGTGGCTGGGGGAACGGGGGAACCGCAGCGGAGGCTATAGGGACCGCACAGGTGAGGCCGCACAGACCACAGCAGTGTGGGCTGCAGGGATCACACGGGTGAGGCTGCAGGAGGGGACCATGGCAGGTGAGGCCGCAGGGAGCGCAGTAGGTGAGGCTGCGGGGAGCGCAGCAGGTGAGGTGTAGGGGGCGCAGCAGGTGAGGCTGCAGAGAGCGCAGCAGGTGAGGCCGCAGGGAGCGCAGCAAGCGAGGCTGCAGGGAGCGCAGCAGGCGAGGCTGCAGGGAGCGCAGCAGGCGGGACTGCAGGGGCCACCAGCAGGTGAGGCTGCGGCGGACGCAGCAGGTGAGGCTGCGAGGGCTGCATCATGTAAGGTTGGGCAGACCTAGCAGGTGAGGCTGCCACAGTCTACAGCTGGTGACGGTCGCATGGACTGCACAACAGGTGAGGCCGCAGGGACTGCAGCAGGTGAGGCGGCAGGGACCACAGCGGATGAGGCTGCAGGCGGGACCATGGCAGGTGAGGCCGCAGGGAGCGCAGCAGGTGAGGCTGAAATAGCCGCAGCAGGTGAGGCTGCAGAGGGCCGCAGCATGTGAGGTTGAGCAGATTCTAGCAGGTGAGGCTGCACAGACTGCAGCAGGTGAGGCGCAGGGACTGCAGCGGGTGAGGCTGCAGGGACTGCAGCACGTGAGGCTGCAGGGACTGCAGCACGTGAGGCTACAGGGATCGCGGTGGTGAGGCTGAGCAGATTACGGTAGGCGAGGTTTTACAGACTGCAGCAGTCGAGGCTGCAAGGACTGCAGCAGGAGCGACAGAGGCCACAGCGGGGGCTGGTATAGGGGAGGTGATACGGGTGCAGCGGGGACGGGGGTAACGGGACTGGTGTGCGAGGGAGAGTGCCGCCCCGGCTGTAGCAAGAGAGGGTACGGCAGGGGCCTCAAAGGCAGAAGGTGAGGCTGCAGCTGAAGCAGCAGGAGGGCCATAGCACGGCCTAGGGGCGGCAGGGGCCGCGCAAACTCGGGGAAACACACAGCAGGGCCGGCAGGGCGGCAGAGACTGCAAAAGGGGCTAGCAGTTAAAGCGGCAGCAGGCGGGGTGGGCTGGGGGACATAGGGGCAACAGGGGAAGGGAGAGGGGAGGGTGGTCCCGACCGGGGTGGGCACTGAAGAGGGGGATGTGATAGCGATAGAGGAGGATGAGGGAGAGGATGTGATGCACATGACGGGCCACTGGCCCAATACCTCACGCTTGACGGTGAGGCCGAACCCGGGCCCCCTGCAGCCTCACGTCGAGGTTCCCCCTCTACCCCCCATGCCCGTCCCCATGCTAGCAGAAGGAACGATGGAGGGGCTGGGGGAGACCTTGAGGACAAGAGCCGCGCGAGGGAGCCCCCATCCTCACTCCCGTCCTCCAGCCCACCAGCCCAGGAGCACCACTTCCCCACCCCCACCCTCAGGTCC